TTCACTTGCCAGTGTTTATGCTCCTTTCTATTTTTCCTCACTAGTATTTAACTTCCCCTTTTTAAAGGATGCCTTTTTGCCTCTCACTGCTTCTTTTACTTTGTTGTTTAGCCACGCTGGCACTTTTTGGTTCTCTTACTATGTTTTTTCATTTGGGGTATACATTTCAGTTGAGCCTCTATTATGGTGTCTTTAAAAAGTTTCCATGCAGCTTGCAGGGATTTCACTTTTGGTACTGTACTTTTTAATTTCTGTTTAACTAATCTCCTGATTTTTGTGTAGTTCCCCTTTCTGAAATTAAATGCTACCTTGCATTGGCCCTTTTGGTCACCCTGGGAGCTCATGTTCTGGGGTTCTCCACCATGACACCCAAGTCCTTTTCAGGGCCACTGCTTCCACGATAGAGTCCCCCATCTAGGGTGACCAGATGTCCTGATTTTATAGGGACAGTCCCGATATTTGGGGCTTTTTTTTATATGGGCTTCTATTACCCCCCACCCCCGTCCCGATTTTTCACACTTGCTGTCTGGTCACCCTACCCCCATCCCGTAAGCATGACTACAGCCTTTGTTCCTAGGTATATGCATTTACATTTGGCCATATTAAAATACACGCTGTTTGTACCCAGCTTACCAAGGTGGCTCTGTATCAGTGTCCGCTTCCTTCTTTACTGCTTCCCCCACCTCGTCTTTGTGCCATCTGCAAAGTTTACCAGGGATGATTTTATGTGCTCTTTCAGGTTGTAGGTAAAAATGTTAAATAGCGTAGGGCCAAGAACTGATCCCTGTGGGACCCCACTAGAAACATACCTGTTTGATTCCAAATTGATTTAAGCCAAAGCAAAATAAGCCTAGTGCAACTTTCTCCTGTAGACAAGGCCCAAGATAATTTTTAAAATGTTTAATTCTAACTTCTTCTAAAAACTTTAAAATAAAGTTTTAAGAAGGACAAATCTGCATCGCTGGTAGAAAAAAGCCCTGAGTCTCTTGTGCCTTGGTCTATAGGGCATGGCCGGTGAAAGCAAACTGGAGAGTCCTGACTCAACACCCAAGATTTGGGGGACCTGATTCTCTGTTATGCCAAGGCCCCTTTCTGCCATTCTAGCACCATAAAACAGGTGGAAATGGCCTGCTGAGAATCCCCTTGTGCAGCTGCTCTGCAGCTGATGTGGAGCTGGCAGAAGGTTTCTGAACCTGAACCTGCCCTGCTCTCAGCATTCTGTGTGGGCGGCGGGGAAGAGTATTAATTTAGATGGATAAAAGGGGCCCAGAGAGTCAAAGGCATTGAACAAGATGTGGGTTTTGGTTCAGAAACTTCAGCCTGCTGAGTCCTATGGCAAACACACCATTGAAAATACTTTTAACCTTTTATTAAAGATACAGAAGAGAAGAAAAGCATTTAAAGGCTTTGAAATGTTTAAATAAGGCTTTCATTTGAACAGCATCCTTTGTTCCCTGTAGCTGGAGAGAGACTTTAGAAGGAAAAACCACCTTGTGATAAGTGTTGTTTTGGGGGGAAAGGGATGGGCTAGAGCTGTTTAAAGTCCAGTCCTGTTTCCCAGAAGACAAAACACGACAAATGCGCACACAAGGGAAAAGAAAAGAACAGCTAAGTTAGAAAATGTAGCTTCAGTCTCTGGAGTTGATTCTCACTTGCAGCCTCGCTGCTGGAAAAACACAGGCCCAGCCCCAGGGTCTTACGAGCCACTCCAAGACCTGGCAAGCTTGTACTAGCATCAAGCTGTTTAGGGCATTGCTTTGAGCTGCCTCTTTCTGGTCACAGGCTTAAAGCATTGTTGCAAAATATACAGTCTTGGCCAGTGACACCACGTTCATAGCAAACGGGAGGAAAAAGGAGAGGGAGAGAGGAAAGTGGAGAAATAAGGTACAGCTGGAAAAGGACACGTTTGGGCAAGGAAAACAGTCTCACATCGCAGGGGGTGCTTGGGATTCAGCTGGAGCCAGTTGAGATGGTGATGTCATCTGGGTCCCGCTGTCTGGCCGAGTGTGATCAGGACATCTCTCAGGACCAGGATGGACGAAGGTTCAGGATCTTACGCAATGGTGCAGGTGGCAGCTGTGATGCTGAGGCTCATTCCCATAGCCAGGGAGTGTTGGGTGGAATAGCCCATCCCCTCGTTATTTTGTCCGCCCATTAAACCTAATTTCCAACACACCAGTGTGGGTTAATTGATTTTTGGTCTCTCACTGTTCCTGTTCACCAGACATGATCTTAACAAAGTCCTTGAGTTATACCAGGAGGCCTTTTTGTACAGACTAATTCAATCTGTCTCCCTTTTTTATCTTTTCCCATCAATATTTGTTCTCGTAGGTTATTGGGACATAACATGAACTTTCACTCGCTTCTCACAGTTGAGCTCACAGGATAAATGTGTAGGCCCAGTTATTATAACAGGTGGATCAGGGCATGGCTGGAGCGTACCACACTGCTCTCGCTTACACTAGGAGTAGGGCTGGCCACTGCGTAGTCCCAGAATAAAGAAGTGTAAAGGTGGTCTAAAGCCCATGATCCCCCTCCAGCCCTGCCCCAAGTGCAGAATGGAGTAACTGAGAACCGGGCCCAACCACTCTGCTGATTACGCTGGCTGGGGGAGGAATAATATAGAGCAGAGGACCTGCAGTGTTCTCAGGCCAAGAGACTGCCCTGACTTCTATGTGGGCATCTTTGCAGATCTCTGACCCTGCCTTGAATGTTATCTTGGAGGCTTAGGCCTTATCTACACAGGTCAGAGAAACTTCAGGGCATAGCTATAGCAGGGTAACTATCACTGATCTGCTACAGCGCTCTAAGACTAGCTCCCTGTGTGGACACTGTACATAAATAAGTGACTTTGTTCCAGAATAATTGCTCCACTTTGGAGTACCAGTCAATCTCCCCATGTAGACAATCCCTTAAAGACCTGAAAACTTGTAAACAAAACTGCCAGAAAATCCCAGGCTGTCTCCATTTTCCCTGTTTATTGCTTGGCCTCTCAGGCTGGGCAGCAGCGTACCAAGGGGGAGATGAGTATCTGGGGTCTGCAGTCTTCCGGATGCTTTGCCACAGCTCGAAGTAGAGCTAGTGATGAAAACAGGGCCCAAGTCCAGCGTGTGCTGCTGTCGAAAGGCAGCTTGAATCCAGGCAGTTCTGACCCCCCCCCACCCCCCAAATACAGATTGATCCACCCCATGAATGGTCTCCTTTAGCAGGCTTGGCACAGAATTCTGCAACGGAGTCAGGCTAGATGGCCTGGACCTGCCTCTCTCTGCTGCCCAGGGAGATGCTGGAGCTGGACTCTCCTTGACTGAACAGGTGGCAGGTGGTGGAGTGTTCTTTGGGCGGGGCCTCGGCTGTGGAACAAGCTTCCACCCAGCTGCCCACCAGGGCTCTCTGCGGGGACCATGTGCACAGACAGCCAGAAAAGTTGAGGCCTGCTGGGGCTGAGGGTTGAGTGGGGAAAACCCTGCCTGCTGGCCCTTAGGGTGGAGTTCTTCTGGGGCTTTGTGCTTCAAATGATGTCCAGGAGCAGATGGTGCCTTCCTAATGTCATTATAGATAGCAGTAAGTAAATAGTGAAAGGCAGCATGGTCCAGGGGATAGAGCCTGGACTGGAAGCCAGGACTCCTGGGTTCTCTGCCTGGTGCTGCCCATGTCCTCACAGCAAGTCACCTCTTGGTGCCTTAGTTTCCCTGCCTGCAAAATGGAGGCTAATGATCTTCACTCAGCTTTGCAAAGTGCTTCAGGATCCTCAGATGAGGCATGAACTTCAACCCCTGGATCAGCTAGCCTAGAGGTGTGATGTTTTAAAGGCTTCATAGGAAGGAGAACACAAGACTGGGTGTCTCGTTCAGAAAGATCTGCTCTAGGTCAGCCAGAGGCTATAGGCCAGAGGCAGGAATCCCTAGGTGAGGAGCTCTGGCCTGTGTTCTACAGGAGGTCAGACTAGATGCTCACAACCGTCCCTTCTGGCCTTAAAAATCTGTGAACCTCTAAGTGTGAGCCCAGTCTGCCCTGCACTGGCCACTGGGGAAGGGCCAGCTTGGCCTTGATGGGGCTGCTCCAGCTCTGAATTCTAACTGCACCTCCACTGCCCTCCTGAGACTCTGCCCAGACAGAGGGGTTCAGCTGTAAGCCACGGGGAGTGGACAGTGAATGCAGCTAGACTGGCTCAGCAGGAGTCTCTGTCCATACAGCCCGCAGCCCCAGGTTCTCCAGATAGTTTTTGCTGTGCCATATCTCCTAGCCCTGGCTATTCGAGTGTGGGGGATGGGCAGGGCATTAGGCTTGGTGGAGCAGGGTAGGGTACTCTTTACTTTCTGAAAACCAGGCCCCCTGCCTCTTCCCCATCCTCCACTAGCTGCTCTCCCCCCTGCCCCTCCCTGCTTGCTGATGTCCCCCTCCCCCTTTCTCCTCACTCAATCCTCTCCACCCACTCCCTGGCCCCAGCCGGGCTCTCGCTGCAGCCTGGCATAGAGCCTGCTGCCTTCCTGCCCATGAGACGCAGGTAGGAGGCAGCCCCGGATGAGCTGATGACCCAACACCTTCCCCTGGGGTAACGGGACTTTTGGTGTCCGGTCAGTTCCACTGACTGGACACTGCTAGATCCAAAACCTGGCAACCCTAGAGCAGGGTCAGGTTTGCTACTGACTTGTCAGGTGTTTACATAATGAGGTTAATGAGCAAGGAGCTCCATTCCACAGCAGTGCTTCCACGCTGGCTCGGAGCCCTAAGGAGAGACCTCCAAGGCTGGTTACAGACAACACACAGGCCTGTGGGCCTGCCTATTCCGATGCTGTGTGGGGCTGGCTGCTGTGGCACAAGGACAGACAGAAGACTGTTGTAAGGAAAACAGCAGCATACACTGGGACCTGGAGGCAAAGGGAGTTAGCGCCCATTGGAAACCTCAGCCATGCTCCATAGTGGCTCCTGCATTCTGGAGCCGTGCGTATTGCCCATTGCTGGGAAGCAGCCTCCCTCAGAGTAACATTTTGCTGTTACAGCTTTGAGATCCATGCTCAGAAATCAACCATCCAGACATCTGCAGAGCGCCCGAGACGGGACAATGGAGGCTGCCAGCCTGCCAAATGAAGGTAATGCCCTTTATCTTTTGAGAACAAAGCATGGAAGAGCAGCATGTCCTAGTGGATAGAGCAGGTAGTTGGGCATCTGAGTTCTAGGACTGACTCTGCCCAGACCCATTGCGTGACTGCGGTCAAGTCACTTCCCCACCTTCTGCCTCAGTTTCTCCTAAGCTTTCTTCTAGCCAGGGCAGTGTGTCCCTAGTGAGCCCCTCAAATCTGGGCCATGCCACATTCTCCAGCATTATGTTAGATTGGCTTCTGGAGTGATTGAGACAGGGGAGGAGCTGGAAGGGGGTCAGGGTGGGTGTGTGTGTGATAGGAGGGGAAGTGGGGGGTGGCGGTCCTCTGTGCCAATGAAGGAACAGAAGCCAGTAATGACGTGACACCTTGCAGCACCATGATTCTCCTCCTCTCTGCCAACAGGCCAGTTTGCCCCAGGCTCCTTCCTGGAGAAGCTGAACTCCCTGGTGAAAGGAATCGGCTGCCCCAGTCCCGATGTGGGGAGGGCCCCGCGCAAAGCCTTTGACAAGAGATGGGCGAGTCTACCACATCCAGCCCCTCCCCCTGCCGAGGTGCCGGTGACCAGATCCCCTCCATCATCTTGCTCTAACGGTAAAAAAACATCACCTGGGGCATGGTGCACATTGGGCTATCACAGCCCATCTGGGTGGAGCACCAGGAGCAGGTAACAAGGGGTCTGAACCACCTTTGTCCCAGGGAAAACAACTGCCCAGCATGCGGGACCATGAAGAGTGGGCCACGGGCCTCATTGCAGAGCTACTGGAATGAGCCCTGGCAGAAGCACTGAGAACCTTCTCGTAGTGTGCACCGTCCATCCCTGCTGCAGCTGTTGTCCACTGAGTCTGTGCCATGCTCAGCCCTCATGCCTCATCCCTGTGCCTCTCACCCTCTTTGCCCTGCGGCATGGGGCCAGGGTGGTATGCTCCTGAGACAGCAGTGGCCCCATGGCAGTGGTGAGGAGGAGCAATGCTTGCCGCCCCACTGGCTGGTGTGCCCACTCAGGTTTGGCCCTACAGGCCTTCTATCTTGGGGGCGGGGCAGTGAGGCCAAACCTGAGTGGACAGTGCTGCTGCATGGCAGAACGTGTGCCTGGCTGTGGGGGAGAGATCTATCTCCCCCCAAACTGGGCTGTGCCCACTTCCCCTCACCATGGCCACCCCTCTCAGTCCTGCAGCTCAGTCAGTGCATGGCCTCTCATCTGAGAGCACCCTCAGGTGGGACAGGTGTGGGGCAGGAGGCTGAGATGCCAACACTTGCCGCTGCAGCTGTTTGTTCCTGTTTGGGGACGTGCTGAGATGGGAGCTGGGCAGGACTCGGGTGAGGCTGGGCAGGCCGACATCTCTCCTGTGTGCCTCGAACCAGAGCTCTGCCTCGGCCCTGACATGGCTCAGCCTCCTCCCAGCCATGACCCAGTCCTGAGTGGCCAGCAGGAAAAGTTCATCTGCCTTATTGGGAGTAATATCCTTAACCTCTATTTATTAACAATCACCAAAACAGAATACACACGCAATGCATACAATGCTCACCACTCCCAATAAAGGTTGCCAACCCTCCAGGAGTGCCCTGGAGACTCCAGGAATTACAGATTAATTGGAGATTGTCATGTGATGAAACCTCCAGGAATACCTCCAACCACAATTGGCAACTCTAGAGAGCCTTCCAGACAGGACCTACAGTTCCAGTGTGGGAGGGGGATACTGGGATCATTTCTTCAACATCCACCCTAAAGAAGCAAACAAAAGGCCCTGCCTAGGGTGACCAGATAGCAAGTGTAAAAATCGGGACAGGGGTGGGGGGTAATAGGAGCCCATATTTTAAAAAAAAAAAAAGCCCCAAATATCGGGACTGTCTCTATAAAATTGGGACATCTGGTCACCCTAGCCCTGCCCAACTTGTGTTTTCCTTCGCTGGTCCCGTTTAGAGAATGGCAGTCTCTTCTCCCCACTCTGTCTTCTTCCTCCTTCCCCTCTCCATCTGGTTTGACAGATCAGGCTTCATCAGCAACTTTATCCCTTAACTCTTCTTGATCTCTGTTATGTCTTCCTCCCAGCAAGGGAGCCCCTTAGCCACAAAGATTAAAGCAAGGCTTGCCTCAGAGGAAATGCAAACCAGGGCTTCCCCCCAGGGACTGATCAGCACCAGGATCAAAGCCCTGCTAGGGAGGATTCTGCTGCAGGGGTCGCTGGGGATGTTTTTTTAAGGAGACAAATGAGCCTATGGCAGAGACAGAGCAGTTCTGTCTTCTCGCCCTTTGCTCTCTTAGCTCTTTGCTTTCAAACCTGACAAGCGGGTTTGGATCTCCGTGTTTTTTGGGGTGATGTACAACGTCGGGGAGGGGGGGGTGCTGCTGATTAGCTGTGCATGTTTGTAAATGCCAACTCCATGGGGCTCCCTAAACTCCCCTGCCCTGGCAGCTTGTGCCAGATCAGAAATCCCATCTCGGTCCCAACGCTAGTGTAAACTAATTATTGTGAAAGAAGTGATCATGCTTTTTACCAAAGATGATGATGCGATTTCTTCCTAACTTTTTTAAAAAGCTTAAATTCTGTTAAATATCATCACACCACGTAAAGTTTTAACAAATAAACTTGTAAGTTTAACATGAAAAAACAGAGCCTTGATAAATGCTTTGTAGCACTCACGCTCAAGTTTTTGTCTTGGGGATATTTTGTAGAAATACCCCAGTCTTAAAAAAAAAAAAAGAAAAAAAAAACTTTAAAAAGCAAGCTAATGCTTTGTCTAAATGAATTGCCCAGCATTCAAAGACAATCCCAAACAAACCTATATTGCTCTAAAAACTTATTACTTGTAAACTGTAAAGAAAGCTTTACATTCCCTTCAGCATTACATGATACAAAACACACATGCAGCCTAACTTAAAAGAAAAATGAGTTCAAACTAGCCTATGTCAAAGAGATCATAACACTTTTTACCACTTTTTATTATTTCTTCCTGACTTTTAAAAAAATCTAAATTCTGTTAAACATAATTGCTCCGAGTAAAGTTTTAACAAATGAACGTTTAGAAGTTTAACATGGAAACAGTGGGCACTGATAAATGCTTTGTAGCTGTCACACGTGCTTTTAAAGATAACACAAGAAAACAGAACATTGATAAATGGAAGTGAAGCAGCTTTGTAGCACGCGCTCTCTCTCACACACACTCTCACAAACTTGAAAAGGTAAAATAACCAAAATCCATGTCATGGGGATATTTTGTAGTGGTCTAGTGAAAGAATGACCGTTTATACAGGGCTAGCATTTGTAAATTGTGGAGGAGCAAAGCCTTTATTCACACAATTTTTTCCTTTTACTTAATAATTGAGACATGGCCTATCTGAAGAAACGTATCCCCGCAAGCCGCCACCTCCTGTCTTCTAAAAGAATTGTTAGTGTTTGCAGCAAAATAATTTTTAATCACAGGATTAAAAATAAATAAAATTAGCTTTTAAACATTTTATTTCCATTTTCTGCTATCCCAACTTTTAAAAAATAACGTAAACATGTTTTTTAGATTGGATTTATCTGCTACAGCTTAAAGAGATGCCAAGAACAGGAAATTAAGTTCATTTCCATAACTAAATAATTATTTTGCAGCAGAGAGACATCCCTATGACACACCTTAAATAATACCCTAGCAACAACTACATTGTTTTGTTTTTGTCTAGCATCACGTTTAAGGGGCCCTAAAGAATTATTTTTCTGTTTTTATATAACACCTTACATTACACCTTAACCCTAGATGCTTTACACAGTTAAATAATACAAGACAGTAAATGAGAGCCCTGGGCAATTACTGAAAACAAGGGTGTTAGGATGACTAAAAGCCTACTGCAGAGGGCCTGGGGGAAAATTAAAAGGCACTGCTTTTAAGGAAGAGGGCATGATTTGAGGAGGTATATAGAAAACGGGGGAGATGAGTGGTTCAGGGTTATTTTGTGATGGCCCAAATGCCCTACTGTCTATATTTCTAACACACTCACAAGTACCTGGGGTCCTGTGCTACCTACTTCCCTTTTGACAACAACCACCTCTCCATATCCTGCTATGACCCAGACAGAAATCCCTCTTACGTGGGGCGGGAGGGCAATGGACTCTTAAACAATTGGCTGTAAACTACTGGCTAAGAAACTATTGCGCAGCTGTTGTATGAAAGAGGATGAGCCGTTCAGACCTTTTAAAGATGGAAGAGTCCTATTTCAGCCCTCAAGGAAGGGAAGAGGCTGGCTCTCTGATAGTGCTACATTATAATCCTACAGGAAAACTTATTCTAGGAGAAAAAGCAACTGATCACATAGACTGAACAAATGTTGCATGTCTGCTCATATGTAGTTTCATAGTCCTGGAGAACTTGATGGTGTTGGTTGCCCTATGGAAAAATAACAAATTGCACAACTGTATGTACTTTTTGGTTGGCAGTCTAACTCTCTGTGATCTGTTAATTGGCACAGTTTACTAAGTAACGTTCTTATGTCTGGAAGGAAAACTCCAAGATGGTTTATTAGGAAAGGCAGTATGTTTGTCGCCCTAAGAGCTGCCACTTTTAGTTTGTTAGACACAGCCATTGAGAGACATTTGACTGTGGTTAAAAGGAGGCCTTACGAGGCAATTAAAAAGTACAGGGTCTTCTTATCAGACCATGTTGGTTTATCTCAGTTTCCCTGGTATGTTAGAAACCCTCAACAGGAAATGTATCAACAACTTACCAGACTGCTCAACAGTTTTTTGCCTCTTTATTCCATAAGTGTCTTTATAACCATTTTGGTGACAATTGTTCTGCTTTGTGTGGATATTTACATACTAATAACTCAGAGATCTGTGTCGGACATTTCTGATTGTAATTGGTGGAGTCATCGCCTATTGGCCTCCATTGTTTGTTCTGTTGCTCACAGATGTAGCCTGCAAAGTAAAAGTGTGCCATTTTATACAAGGCTGACTGGTTCATTGCTTTGGCCCTCATTAATTCTGCATTGAATCTCAGCATTTACACTATGGCCAGAAGAAAACGTGGCAGGTTTTCTTTCACCTTGTTTGTGGGTGTCTAGTGAAGACCGGCATGCCCAGATCTTTGTCTGTGATCTGTGTTGGACCATAGGGGCAATGTAAGTCTGTGGCTCATGCACTTAAATCATAGGGAAAAACGTTAGCCATGTTTTACATTTTGTGTACCTGTTTATCCCATAACTTGTTTGGGTTTTAATTCTGTAACAGAACTGGCTCAGAAAAGTATAAGATTTATAAATAATACGAAACCAACGATGCAACAGCCCCATCTTCCTATTCCCTTAAACAGAAAGTCCTCCTTACTTAGAAAGGGAGACCAATAGACTTTTGAAAAGTTAGCCCTAAACTATTGACTAAGAAAGTATTGCACAAGCGTTGTATAAAAGAGGATGAGGCATTCTAGCAGGACGGAAGTGCCTTGAATCAAGCCTTGCCAACACCAGCAGTCCAAGTGGCTCATGAAGGGACCTAGGTGAGGGTTACAAAGATTGTCTGTCACATGAGAAGGGTCAGGGGTCACTGACTCCAGGGCTTCCTCTTGCATCTTCCTTTTCCTTGAAAATCAAATGCAAATAAAACATAATCTCAGCCAAACACAGAGGCGTCCAGCCAGCTACTAACTCTCACGAAGGGGATGGTGCCTGAGTAAGTAGGTAGGTCAGGATCAGGCAATGTCAGGGATTGTACTGCCACTCATCACGTAGCATGTGGGCACCTCCCATGTAATATCGATTAGCAATTGGACTTCTTGGAGTCTTTGGTTCTGCTCCCTTTGGGGGTAAAAGTTCATCTTATGGTGGGTTTTGTTGGTTGGTTGGTTTTTATTCTAGGGGGGCAGGAGAGTTATGAATGTTGCTCCAGTAACAGGCTTTGTCAGAGGCCAAGGCTCTCTGTATCCCTAAAGTTGCTCTGAGTCTAGATTCAGCTAGTGGCTCAGGAAGGCCGTTCCATAGCTGGATCCCTTGGTCCTTGGCTTTTATACCATCCTGGGAGGATTATTTTTGCTATTATTGAACATCTGTCAGTAGTGACTGCAGCATTGCCAACTTGTGTGACTTTATCATGAGTCAGAACATAGTTAGTGCCTGTCTTTAAGCCCCAGCTCCTGGAGTCACATGAATATGTAATAATGCATTGGCCTGCTAAACCCAGGGTTGTGAGTTCAATCCTTGAGGGGGCCATTTAGGGATTTGGGGCAAAAATCTGTCTGGGGATTAGTCCTGCTTTGAGCAGGGGGTTGGACTAGATGACCTCCTGAGGTCCCTTCCAACCCTGATATTCTATGAATCTCAGCTTTGGCTTGTCTATAAAAAGCAAGTTTCTAGCCATTATGATGGCAGGGAAAAGTTTGAAAATGTGACCTCCATGTAACCTTTTAGGCTCAGAAACCAGAAGGCAAATAAAAAGAACCCAAAATGTGTACATGTATTTTTTTAATATCTTGTGGGTTTTAAACCCAACTGATGATTTTTCAGTGCTTCTGGCTGGTGACGCTGCTGCTGTGTCTGAACCGCCCTGCCTTTCTGCTAACGTGGCATTCCCCAAACAGCTCCTGCCGCGGGCTGCCTGGCTGCCGAGGCAGCTCTGCCTCTGGAGCCCAGACCGCTCCTGGTGCATTGTCATTGCCGGTAACTGGATGGGCAGGTTGTGCTACTGGGACAATTGGGATGGCCCAAAGAAACAGAGCCAATGTCCTCTTTGGTTGTGCTTAGATGCCTTCTGTGTCCCTCCTGTAGGGCTGACCTCAGGCCTTGTGTGGTCTTGATGCTGTAGCAGGTACCTGTCAGCCGCCTGAAATCTCAACTGCGAGTGGGGGAGGAGGTTAGAGTGCTGGGCATTCTCGTTTCTCCGGTTCCAGATTCCAGCTCATACTTCAGGGTGAACTGTCTTTGGCCCAAGTCATTTGCTAGACGTTGACACTAAGGCCTTTGGCCCATGAATCTCTGAGCTGGGGAGGTTAGTACAGCGCTGTGAGCTGTACTGTAGCAGTTTAACAGCGTCAGTAGAGAAGCCACTGGGTATGTCTATGCTGCAATTAAACACCCACAGCTGGCCCACGTCAGATGACTCGGGCTTATGGGACTGTAACATCGCGGTGTAGAGATTCAGACTCAAGCTGCAGTCTGGGCTCTGGGACCTTCCCCACTCACAGGGTCCCAGAGCTCAGGCTCCAGCCCGAGCCCAAACGCCTACACTGTAGGTTGACAGCCCCGCAAGCCCGAGTCAGCCGACACGGGCCAGCCATGGGTGTTTAATTGCAGTGTAGATGTGTCCGCTGGGGGAGGGGAGGAGGGGTATTTATTTTTAAATCAATGTCTTTTCTATTTATGGCTATTTTTACAAACTTTTCTGCCGACCCGTTTGACTGAACATACTAAGGGCATGACATGGTGGGTCTGAACTGACACACCACAGAGTGGGGCTGAACTGGCCTGGCACAGAACAACCTGAAATGAACCACTCCTGAATTGTGGGTGGCAGCTGCTGCTATTTGTATTGTGGCAGTGCCTAGGAACCCCAGCCGGGGACCAGCACCCCATTGCACAAACACAGACCAGAGACGGTCCTTGCCCTCATTAATTCATTGCTAATCCCATGGTGAGCAAACTGACTTACAGCGTGCTGGCACAGTGCTCCAAGATGGGTTGTGCCAACTTAAAAAGAATGTGGTAGCCGCGGCGCACTAAGGAGAGGTGGTCTTTGCAGCGCTCAGGGCCAGCCTGGCACCAAGGGCAATGAGGAATTTCTTCTCCATCTGTGTGTTTCTTGCACTGGTGACCGGTTTCACACTTGGATGCTTTTATCTTTGCTGACGTGGTGACATGAGGAGGGTCAGACCCGCTGGTTTGTGGTGGCCGCTATCACTTCCCTGGGTGCAGCGGGGGCTCGGCTCGGGCCCCGAGTCTGCGCTGGGATGGTGTGCTGTGTCTCTGTTTCGAAGTGACTCTGATCAATTTTCAGTCAGTGCTGGTGGCAGGGCCGCTGTGAAATTCTGTTATGCCCCACAAGCTGGTGTGTGATTTACAGCTGCTGCTGTTTCAATTTCCCACAGGACTCCCTGCTGTTGTACCGCTGCCTGTGAGCGCTCGGCGAGAGCCTGTCACCAAACCGATCGCTGAGGCTAGCGTCTCGTCCACGCGGGGAAGCAGGACAGCCGCCTGCCCCCCGCTTGCTCCTGCAGGTAGGAGAATCACTGCTGTTAGAAGTGATCAATACCCACTTCCCCTCCTCCACGGGAGCCCCCACGGAGTGGGATGGGTTCCCCTAAAATAACATTTCCTTCCTTGTATACCAGTGAACTCCGGCTCAAAGAGGGGAAGTTTATTACAGGACTGATCCCACTGGGCAAATTCTTTGTTGCATTTTTGTCAGTGTCAACAGTTAAACCAAACTGGCCAGTTTCCCTTTCGTCTCTGCTCCGTGTCTGCCTTCAAGTTCTCATCCCAATGGCGGGATGTTTACTATTTCTTTGTAGAATTGTAGAGCTCAGAGACCCCACCTGAGATCAGGGCCCCATTCTGCTAGGTGCTGTGTGTACTTAAAACAAGGGAACAGCGCTTGCCCCGAGTAGCTCGCAGTTGAAGATGAGACGCAGGGTGGAGATGGAGGCCGGGGGGTGGGGGGGGAGAGGGCGTGCCCGAGGGCTTGCAGCAGGTCCATGGCACATCTGGGAATAGAACCCGAGTCCTCATCTGCTTTGGGCTGCAAACCCTGACTTGAGCGTGGGAAGGGGAGAAAAGTTTAAATCCAAACAAAGCAACTGTGTATTTGGCAGTTTGGCCCACGAGTCTCTGAGCTGGTGAGTCTCGTTCAGCGCTGCCAGCTGTGCTGTAGTAGTTTAATAGCCCCGGTAGAGAGCCACTGGGTATGTCTGTGCTGCAATTAAACACCCTTCGCTGTTGGCTTTGCTACGTGTCCGAGCTCCAGCAGCTTGCCAGGCAGCCCCACAAAGAGCTGTAGCAGGGGTGCGCGCCTTGGAGCAGGTTTCCTGGGCCTAGCTGAGGTCCATGCAGTGTTGTCTTTTCTTCTCCTTCTCTGCGTGCAGAACTGTTTCCTCTCCCTCCCCAGGCTGTCCACTCCATTCACTCTGCTTCCTCCTGGGGCCAGGGGAGAGTCTGGCCTTAGAGCTAGGCTTACCCTGAGTGTTTCTGGGACTCGCCCGCCATTGCTCTAGCACCCATGGGAGTCCTGTTGCCGTCACCCGCCCCCACTGACCCCTGGCAGCGCCCTGACTCTCATGAAAATAAATAAAATAAAAATAAATTAATGGAAATATCCTATCTCCTAGAACTGGAAGGGACCTTGAAGGGTCATCGAGTCCAGCCCCCTGCCTTCACTAGCAGGACCAAGTACTGATTTTGCCCCAGATCCCTAAGTGGCCCCCTCAAGGATTGAACTCTCAACCCTGGGTTTAGTAGGGGGCAATGCTCAAACCACTGAGCTATCCCTCCCCACCCTGAGTACACCGGGATCTTCAATGAGCACAAGTGCCCGGGATTTAGCTCTGATGTCTTGACAGCAGCACAGCGCCTGCTCCAGTCGTCATGCCGGAGGATTGGTGCAGGAGCCCCGGTGAAGGCCTAGGCTGTAGCCTTGCTATAACCATGCTGTGACTGCGTCCCCTCGCAGTGTATGCTGCACGGTCAGTCCAGTGTTTCAGCTTGATTAGAGGCCGTGCTGAGGTCTCCCCTCCACAGCGTGCTTTAGCTGTGGACTTAGCTAGGGCCTGACCACATGCAGCACAAGATGTTCTTCGGTTTCCCCTCTAAACCCTGAACTGGCTTGACCCTGCTTAGCTGGAGCCAATGGGATCCCTGCAGGCTATCCGGGAGCAAGCCAGCAGAGAGATAGTGGCCCTCCACCCAAAGGGGTACTGAATTACAGCCCTTCCCCAAGGGCTCTGGGTTTGCGGGGGAAGGAGTGGGGAGAGAGCTGCCAGTGAGGCATGTGATGCTGAGCAGAGCCCCCCCCCCATCCCCCATTGTCACTAGGAGGAAGTGATGGCAGCTGATAAGGGAAATGTAGTTCCCAGTGGGAGGGAGGTGGTGGCCTAGTGGGGGTGTCTCTGGTGGCTCCTGTCCAAACTGCCTCCTTCCTCTCTGTCCAGGCAGCTGGAAAGCCAAGGGGCACTCCTGGGTGGGATTACGATCCTCCCAAGGGGTGTGCGGGGGTTCGAAAGTCCTGGGAGGGAGGAGCTGACCTGGCAGCCGGGGAATCAGGTTGGAGAGCCTAGTGTTTGGGTGAGGAGGTATTTGAGAAGGTGCATGTCCTTCATGGGGAGAAGATACTTTTTGGGGTACGTCCCGGGGGAAGGTGCTTTAGAGAGACATCTCACTGGGACCGAGCGGGGGGAGGGGCATCCTTGCCACCCACCACGGCGTTAAAAAGACCCATGAGCTCCCCTGCAGGGAGCTGGGAAGTTGGAGGACCTTGGGGAGAGAAGGACACACCTCTGAACTCTGTGGAAATAGCCTGAAGCAAGAGGGGCAGAGTGGGGAAGCGTTGCTTGGAAAATAGGATCTGACCCTCCTGAAATGGGGACAGGGCCGTGATCAGAGTTGGGTGTGGGAGCCAGGACTCCTGGGTTCTATTTGTAGCTCTGCCGCTGGCTCTCTGTGTGGCCTTGGGTGAGTCACTGACCCTCTCTGTGCCTTAGTTTATCAGGTTTGTCCAAGGGTGGAGAAGGGGGGGTCGTGATCTTTCCCTGCCTCCCTGGGGCTGAGGCCGAATCAGTGACCTTGTCCAGACCAAGACGTGGAAGGTGCTAGGTGACACGTGTTAGTTAACACCTGCCACGTCCTCGTCTGGATAAAGGCCTGAGATGAAAGCCCTTGCTCCTTCTCCCCCATACTGGGGGCCAGGGTACCCCTCCCCCCCCGGGGCCCTGCCCCCAGCGTGTCTTGTCTCACACATGCAATGGGACTCTGTTGCCCCTGGGCTCAGCCAGGGGTGTTGCTGTGCTAGGCTCCCCAGCAGAGGGAGCAGCAAGCGGCTCCCTGGCCACACCCATTACATGGCAGCTCCAGCCCTGGGAAAGGTAAGGCAGGGGAGCTGAGAGGTGCCTGCTCAATCCAACCCCATCCGCTCTTCACGTTGGCCATCCGGGGGGGGTGCGGCATCTGGGGAGGGAGGTGGGGAGACCCCGCCCCTGTGTGTATGGAGCCATGCGGGGGGGGGGCAGATAGTCCAGAAATGGGGGACCAGGCTTCTGACCCCATTGCCCTCTGGGGGGATGTGAACAAAGATGGGGTTGAGCCCCCGTGCTGAAATCCAGGCTGCCCTGATGTGTGGGGCCATGTCCCATCCAGCAACCCACTGCGCTGCTGCCCCTCCTCCCACTGCTCTTTCTCGGGGTGGGAGTGGCTGGAAGGCTCTGCTCTTTTCTGGCATAAAGGGGTGTCTCCCAGTCCCATCTCTCAGGCCTGCCATGAAAAACACATCACGGACTGTGAAATCTGGTTTCCCCACGTGAAATCTGGTCTTTTGTGTACTTTTACCCTATACAGATTTCACGGGGGAGACCAGCATTTATCAAATTGGGGGTCCTAACCCAAAAGGGAGTTGCAGGAGCCCTTAGTGCCCCCCAGCAGTGTCACAGCAAGGGGAAAACTCACTGTTCCTAACAGCTCTGCCCCAGCCCTGGGCCCCATGGTTTGTTACCGCCCTAGCAACGGACTCTGATTAGCGCGAGGAACCAAGGGTGTTGCCAACAGGGGGCAGGACAGTGCCCACCTACGTACTGGAAGTTTGAGGGATCTGGAGCCATCCTTCCGTGGAGCAGGAACCCTGGGCCTTTATTCATCTTTTAAATGGACTGTTTTAGATGCCAAGGCAGCCCAGTGCGATCGGGCAGCTTCACTCAGTGCCATCGGTGTCACTGGGCCTCCATGTGGATCAGCTGCGGGCATCAGGAAAGAGCTGAGAGTGGAATTTTTCCCTAGGCTGTAACAAAGCTGCTGGTTCAGGGGACAGTCTTCTCATCTTTAGGCCCCGATCTTGAATTCGTATCAGCACGGTCAGCCTTCTGCGTCCCCAGAGCGTTAGGATCGGTGTTGCAGTGCAGGCTGCTCTTACCTGTTCAGTGCAAGCCCCGTGCCCAGTTTTAGCACAGTAACAAAGGGCATCTAGTTAATTCTCTTAAACCTTATCAACCCAGAACCTTTCAGCTGTGAAAAGTAATGCACTGTCAGCGCAAAGGGGATTAAACTGTCTTGCAGTTAGGGATTTAAGGGCCCGATCCTGATTTCATTGAAGTTGGGGGGAGTGAAATCCGCTGTTAGCGTGGTGATGGGAGGGAAATGCTCCAGGAGCTGGAAAGTCTGTTCTGCGTATTCCGGTACACTGAGAAGCCTCCGCTGAGATCAGGGCCATGTTGATTTTTGAACAGTGCGAACAATGTCGCACATATTAAATGGATTAAAAACTGGTTAAGGATAGCTCTCAAAGTTAATGGGGGATCATCCTCCAGTGAGACCTCTTCTAATAGGGTCCTACAGGGATCAGTACGGGGTCAGTGCTGTTCAGTATCTTGAACAACGATCTGGAAGAAAGCATAAAATCTTAGCTGGGAAAATTTGCAGATGCCACCTGTCCACTGCTTCATTGTGAATAATGCCACGTCCGTTACACAGAGCAATCTGGGCCAGTTGTCAAGGGGACAGCGTGCTCGTGTTTTAACTCTGCCAGAGTGTGGGTCGCATGTCTAAAATGGGGAGCTGTGTCCTGGAATGTGGGACACTAGAAAGGACTGAGGGGTCGTGGCAGAAGGAATCCGACTGAACATGAGTTTGCAGGGTGATGCTTTAGCTCAGAGGGCAAACACGATCTTCAGGTGTGTAAGGGAGCTATCGGGTGGGAGTAGAGAGATGCTGTTGCCTCGGTATAGGTCATACGCTAGTGAGGCCATTACCGGTTGCTAGGTTTAGTTCTGGTGTCCACGCTGCCACAAGACTGCTAACAAATTAGAAAGGGTTCAGGAAAGTGCTACAGGAACTATTCAAGGATTGGAAAACCTGCCTGAGAGACAAAGGAAACTTGATCCATTTAGTTTATCGAAGAGAAAGTTAAGAGGTGACTTGATCATGGTTTCCAAGAACCTACGTGGGTACTTCTCCACCTGCGGGGCTCTTAAAGGCAGAATAAGATGCAGCAGCTGGAAGCTGAAGCTAGCTAAATTCAGACTAGAAATAAGGTGCAGACTGTTGACCACTGGAACAGTTTATCTGGGGGTGTGGTGCGTTCCCCAGCAGTTGGAGTCTTTACATTGAGATTGGGGGTCTCTTAAAACACATGCTCTGGCTCAAACACAAGTGCTGGACCTGCCGCAGGAATTGCTGGGTGAGATTCTCCGGCCTGTGATGCAGGACATCAGACTAGATCAGTTTCTCAAATGCAGCCACAATGGCCGCATGCGGCCACCAGGGGCTTTTCTTGTGGCCACAGCCTCCTGGGTGGTGATTGGGGAGAGGGGCAAAGCAACCACCCCTCCCCAGGGCCTCCAGCAGGGGCTGGTCCTTGCCCCCTTCTGGAGCCACAAACGCTGTAGGAGCAGGTGACCAGTGTGAGTTCCCCACCTTCCTGGGAGTGGTGGGGCTCGGGCTTTGGCCCTGGGGTGATGGGCGGAAGGCTCTGGCATGTGGCGGTGGACTTCATCCCACAGCCTCAGGGCTTCAGGCTTCAGCCCTGGGCTCACCCCCCTTTGCCCCTGGCCCTCCCCCACCCTCCCCACCTCCCCATCTAGGGCTTAATTTGTCCCCCAGCTTGCTGGGGCTGAGTAAGTTTGCTGTGAAAAGTGATATTAACAAATATACAAACATCACTTTTCACAGTAGCAGATTTACTAGCTAGCACGTCTAAAAAACAAAATCAACCAAAAAAAGCAAAACATGCAAAGCACCTTATTTGTGTTTCTATTCTGTTTGGGTCCAGTAAAGAGTAGCGACAACTCTACATTACTTTTATTATTGAGTCTGCGGAAAAAAACCCTACATAAATAAATGACAGTGATTTGGGTGTGTGTATACGCAGATTTATTTGTTTTTCCTAAAATTAAGTAATTTAGGGGAAATTGTCAGAGCGGCCACCAGCAAGAGTTGGTGGCCGCACTCTGAGGCCACCAAAAATTTTCTTGTAAGAACCCCTGCACGAGGCGATTATAATGTACTTGTCTGGCCTTAGGTGTGCTTGGGGCTCTGCTCCCCGTAGGTACACTGGCCCTGAGGTTCCTCCCCCCTGAATAGATGGGACAGGGCTGAGCTGTCTCCGGGGTTAGATCCACCAGATCACGCTGCCTCGTGTGTTCTTTGGGTTACCCTCCGGCTGTGGCTGACCTGGAGTACCCTGGAGGGGGCGGGGCTCTCAGCCTTAGCGGATTTCAGTGTGAAGGAGACGTGGCGGGGTTTTGTTGTAGTTGAACTCCAGAAGGAAAATGGCTCCAATATAACAAATCGTGGGGGGAAGGGGGCTGCTTTCTTGCTAGCGTGGGGCAGAGGGGGGCCATGAGAACCCCCTTCCCCTGCAAAACCTGGGAATGGAGACTTCCCGAGCTGCCCTTCACTAAACGCAGTGCTGGCAGCGGTGGGGGACGTGATGAATTCTTTTCCTGGGGCTCTGTCTGAAAGCTGCTGCTTGGCCCGGCCTTGTTGTGGCAGCTCAGGCTTCGTTTTTCCTCTGCATCGTCAGACGTGACCTCGTTCTGGGGGTACAGGGCAATGGCCTTAAAACGGCCGCCCCCCGAGAGACCCCAGTGCGCACACTGAGCTTGAAGCTCCCAACACTGGGCACTGGCTGGGATTCGCCCTGCCCAGTGCAGATGGCTGAACAAGGCCTTGCGCACTGCTGGCACCCTTGGGTGGGGCCCAGGCCTCGCGTGGGGGAGATTTTACCCCGGACGCTCCCTGCCTCCCCCTTTATTACATGGGGAGAGCCAAAATCCAGCAGCCAGAGGGGAGCGGTGTCCCCTCCTACCCAGAGCCAGGTGATGGGGAGGTAAAAGGCAGACCCATATAGGGCTGAGCAAAGCAACGCACTGACCATCTCCTTCTAACCCCTTCCTTACCGCAGCTCCGCGCCAGGCCTCCAGCGTGGCCCAGGAACCATCTCCCCAGGCAGCTCTGGAGCTCCAGGGCGGCACCAGCAGCCTCGACGAGCAGGCCCAGCAGCTGGATGCGGAAATCAACGAGCTGATCCAGCAGTGGGAGCTCAGGCCTGAGGATGAGGAGTGGGAGGACACGGCCTCTTCCATGCGGCTGAAGAGTAGGTGCCCTCGGAGCGTAGTGCCCATACCCCTGTGGGCTGGCCAGCTCCCCCGCCCAGGGAACTTAGAGCTGGAAGAGCCCTGTCAGATCACCTGTGGCCACAGCAGGGTGGTTCCCTACAGACCGTCCCCAGGGCTCTGTCCAGTCTGGGTTTAGATGCTGCCTGGCCCAGTCCCACTCCAGGAGCCAGTTCCCCCAGCGCCAGAGCTCCTAGCAAAACAGGGAACATCTGCTTTGTTCAGACACCCCCAAGGCTCCTAGCTCTCCCCTTGCCCAGCCCTAGTCCCTCTCCCGGCCCGGTGCTCCCACCCTTCGATCTGGCTCAGGACTGTGTAGTAGCTCTGCTGCCAACATGCCACTTCCCATCCTTGCCTGCTCTCACAGAGCCCGGCAGCGTGAAGATGGGTCCCAGGCCAGGGTTGGGGAGAGGAGCCAGGCACTGAAAGTTCCAGGGATGTGCCCCTTTCCCCAGAGACCCACCTGGGCGTGGTTTGCCTTCTCCCCTGCATCTCCCTGCCCCGTGGCTTTGGCAGGGCCAGGCGTCGCTCTGAGCTCCTGCCCTGATGAGAGACGCTCAGATTCCCACCCAATGTGCTTTCTGCGCAGGTAAATGGTGCCGGGGTGACCCCATGGACCTGGACTACGAGTTCATCCGGGAGGACCCTGCCTATGACGCAGACAGGGTGGAGAGCGAGGCTCGGGAAGCAGGTGATGCGGGAGAGGGTGTCACTGGGGTGACCTGAGTCCTGCCCAGCCCACCTGGCACAGCTCAGAAGGGGCCGTTGGGCTCCTGCCCTACCAGCACCGGCAAGGCAGGAGGAGGGATGACCTGCTCTGATCTGCTGCCGTCACGGTGCTGCCCAGCTCGCTGAGAAGGGCCCTGAGTGCAGCTGGGCACCTCGTAGAGGGAGATGGCTGGGCGAAGACTCGGAGGTACAGGGCATACCTGGCTTCCTGCTGGGGCTCTGCAGCTGGCACATGCATACGGGGATCCCTGTCGGGGCCTGAGGCAGCACCTTCCTGCGGGGGGCAGGGGGAAGAGCAGTGGCCTGTCGTGAACAGATCTGGAAGGGCCTGGGCGAGTAGAGGGATCTGGGATGGGGGCTCAGCAGGGGAGGCGCAGGCGGGAAGCAGTGATCTGGGGGCTGTGGTGCTCTGCCTGGCACTCTCCATGCGCTGCAGCGGCTGCGCCCCCTTGAGCCTGGGATCCCGAGGTCAGGGGAGTTGGACACAGCAGCCTTTGGGGCTCACACAGAGGAGCTCTGCCCTGTGTCCCTGCTCGCAGGAGACCCTGCCATTTCACTAACCACTGAGCTCGCTAGCTTCTGAGCGACCGGCAAGGGCCGAGTCCAGCCGTGTGTCACGTGCCAGATGCAGCATTTATTCACTGCTTTCTGCCCCGGCGCTGCTGGGTAAGTGCAGAGCTCGCTGACCAATGGGAGGGGACGTGGGAGCTCCAGCTGCAGAGGCAGCTCTGCCCCCGCCGTCTGTCAGGATAACGCGGGCAGCACGAGGCGCCCTGTGGCGTTTAACGTGAAGACGTCTCTGGAGGGTGGATGCTTTCAGTCTCGCAGGTGACACTTGGGTGTACGTGTCAGATTGTCTCCGGGGTTGGTGCCACGGGGCGCTGGGAGCTTTCCAGAGCTCAGCACGAATGACACTAACCGTGGCTGTCGATGGGAAAGGCCTGGTAATCCATCTGGGCAGCGCAGCCCTGGAGCCAGTGACTGAGCCACAACCCAGGCGACGGGGCTCCCGCCCCGTAACTGGGAGAAGATTCCCAGCCCCATAGATCTCACCATGGGAAAGAACTCCCTGGTGTTCAGCATAAACTGTCTCTGGTCATCACATCCTATCCTCTGCGCCTCATTCCTGCCTCTGCAGAACCTCAGCCTGGGCCCCAAACACTCCTTCCCCTCTCCCCACCTCGCCATGGCCTCCGCAGGCCCCTCTGTGCTGCAGCCTCCACTCCCCTCTGCTGAGATCCTACTCCAGCCTTCGCCCTCACCCCCAGTGCGAAACACCTCCCTGCCCATCTAACACTGACTTCCTGTGGCCCGCCCAATAAACTGGCTGTTGAGGGTACAAGAGCTGTCTCCTCTGCAGCTCCCCCAGCTCCTGGCTCTAGGACAGAGGGTCATTTGGCTGCTCTGGGAGCTAGTTGTAGGGGTGCTTTCTCGTGTGTGTGGCTGGACACCAGGCCACTGAGCCAGCAGGAACTGGGCATTAAATGGGGACCAGGAATCCAAAGGTCCCAAATCCCTGAAGCATCCAGCCCATAAAGCCCAGGGCGTTTTAGGTTAGAGCAACAGCAGTAGGCTGTGCTGTGGTGTGCGTGTGCTCTTCCCGGGCCCGGTGGAGAACTAAGCGTCTCTCCAGAGTCCTCGTGGCTTTGTTGTTTCTCGCTCTCTTGATTTTTGGAACCTTTGGAGCTAGTTGGCGCTGCCGGTTCTCGGTGTCAGATGAGCCCATTATTTCGGAGCCCTGCTGACTGCTGGGGAAGCATCAGAGCCACTTGGAATAGAATGTTTTGAACAGGAAAGAGCTTCGGCCACGGAGGCAGCTGTGGAGCTGGGCTGGGTTTTGGGACGTCGTTGTCATAGGATTATTTTTAAAAAAATAGCCATTAAGTGTTAAAGGAAAAGCCCCCTATAACAGCAAGGCTGTGCTGGCTGAGCAGAATGTAGCAAGAGGGCCTGATTTCCAGCAAGGTACGCCCGGAAACATGCGTTTGCGCTACACGTGCAGATGCCAGAATCAGGCAGGCAGTTGCCACGGTCGTGCTGGTAAACTTCCGTTTATGCCTCTGCCTGGCTCTTGGCACGCAGTTGGATGCGCAGCTGTGGTGACTGCCCAGCGTGCATTGCGCTCCCAGCCTGGGATTTCCCAGAGCCCCCAGCTTTCAGCGGGAGCCGGGTTAGACAAGTGCTGAGCGCTCCTGCAAATTCTGCCTGGAAGCTAGGAACCAGGCAGGAAGCCTCCATCCACTCAGTCTGATGTAGAGTGCGCCTGGGCGAATGCACGTCCCCACTCAGCTGGAACTTGCCTCGGGACCTGAAAATGGTGCGATTGAATGTTGTGCTGGAAAGCGATACCCGTCAACTTCTCGCTTGCTGGGGATGAATTGATGAGAGCGCTGACAGCCCCTGCACTTCTCTGTGCCATCAGCTGTTGGCTTCCTGTGTGGTTCATCCTCCTCACTGCGTTTAGACAGACTGTTCAGTGGCGTTTCTCTCCTGGGCGATTGGCCATGCTGGGCTGGGTGCTACCTTGCACGTTTCTCGGCCTGCATGAGGCCCGTGTTGAAGGAAATAGCTTTGTTATGAGATTGCTCCCTTCTGAGCTGCATCTGACCGAAAAGTGTCTGGCTGCTGCGATCCTGCTCAGCAGGTAGCCGGGCACCTGACAGCTGCTGGGCTAATCTGCTTTCAAGGTTGGCTCTTCTCAGGGTCAGGCCCGGTGTGCAAGGTGCTGTCACCTCATCCATCCCGGACGCCAGCTCAGGAGCAGCCTGTTTGCTTTGCTTCCTGCAGCAAAACCAAAAACAGGGTGATTCTCACTAGCTCTGCCAAGGGGAATGTGATTCCTTTACACCAGGCCAGGGGAAAGTTACCGCTTTGTCTCCAGCAGCATTGCCTGTGACTCTCCCGCTACCCAGGGGCTGTGCCGGACTGTTTTGTTCACCATTAAAATTACGAGAAGCTATTCTGGTGTGAGCAGCTGTAGCCCTGTGCTGCTGGGGTCCCTGTGCCAAGCATGGGCTACTCGGCTCAGCAGAGGTCCCATCACGAATGTGTGAGGCGTGTTTAACAAACCCAGGGGCCCTCTCGGTCCGTCGTGTCCGTGAGCGTATAATGCTGTCGTTCGGAGCTGGTCGTGTTTCCCCTGCTTTGCGCTGCTGTGAATGATGGCCCAGGGGACAGGGCAGGGGAGGGTCTGGCCTAGTCACTGGAGAGTAGTAATCGTGTGTTGCAGCCATAGGCCTCGGCTTGGTATTGCGGCCCCAGCCCCGTTACGCAGGCACTGGACAAACCTGTCCACGGTGCCCTTCCTTGCCGAGCCCTTTCTCCTCTCCTGCGTTACCCCAGCGACTGGGACCTCCTGCTCCCTGTAGCCGAGGGCAGATCTCCTTTCCGCTGACAGATGCCATGGTGCCCACGCAGTGAGTTCACATGCAGCTGCTCGCTCAGAATTAGCCAATGCTGATGCCACAAGCACGGGTGTCTAATTGGGTTTTCACAGCTGGTGCAGATATTCCTGCTGTCACCGTTTGGGAAGCACTAGGGGAAAAGCCCAGCCAGCCGGCGGGCTGAGACCCCAGTTCAGCAAGGCAGCGAAGCACATGGTCAGTCCCAGAGGTCATCAGGACTCCTCCCAGGCTCAAAGCGAAGGAGTCTGCTCCCAGGGCTGTAGAGTGTCGGAGCTGGAGTCTGTTACTTGCCTGGGTCTCTGTTTGTTCCCTGACAGGGAGGCCCCAGACCGCGTGGGATAGAGCAGGACTTATCTCCTCTGCCAGGTGCTGGAGCTCCCTGGAGCACACGCTTGAAAGAGCCCAGGGCTCCCTCAGGGCATGTCCGTGTGGGAAGCTTCCCTGCTGTGCTTAAACAAGTACAGTTAGACTGGTGCAACCCCCCTTGCGGCCCCTCTGACTCCAGGATAAAAGTGACTTTGGAGGGCTTTAGCTAAACTCCTTCCAAAGCGACATAAGCTGAAGGCCCCCCCCTTACCCCAGCATGAGCGTTAATAGGGAGTGGGGGCCATATGGCATGTGGTGCAGCATTCACCGGGGTGGGGCGGGGGCGTATGGTGTGCCAGTGCAGCATTCACCAGGATAGAATGTGTATGGTGCGCCGGTGCAGCGTTCAGCACGAGGGGGAATCTGTATGGTGTGCCGGTGCAGCGTTCACCTTGGGGGGGAATCTGCATGCTGTGCTGGTGCAGCGTTCACCAGGAGGGGGGATCCGTATGCTGCGCTGGTGCAGCGTTCACCGTGAAGGGGGATCTGCATGCTGTGCTGGTGCAGCGTTCACCAGGAGGGGGGATCCGTATGGTGTGCTGGTGCAGCGTTCACCACGAGGGGGGATCCGTATGCTGTGCCGGTGCAGCATTTGGGGCCGTGGGGAGGTGCGTATGGTGCGCCGGTGCAGCTGTCACTTTACATTCACACCTGGCTTCTACCGGTATCGCTTTCCCATGTAGACGAGTGCTCATGCGTGGAGTTGGACTGTGGCTGAGCACTGGCACAGAGCGGGGCCCTGAACTGCGCGCCCAGTGCCGGGGCATCCCAGGCTGTTCTCCGGGCAGAGCCAGGAAGGGCCTTAGTGCAGAGCTGGGGTTAGGCTCCTGCCACCCCTGTGACCAGTGTGGGTTGGTGGCGAGGACTCCCGCACCTGGCTAGGCCGGGGCTGCCCCTGCTGAGTGAGGCTGTGCATGAACAGTGCTGGCTCTCTTCAATCCAGCTCCCCTTGGAGAGGAGCGTGAGACCCACAGCTGTGGGGAGGGGAAAGGGACAGCCAGCAAGTTAAAGAAGTATGGGCTGGATGAATGGACTATAAGGTGGATAGAAAGCTGGCTAGATTGTTGGGCTCAACGGGTAGTGATCAACGGCTCCATGTCTAGTTGGCAGCCGGTTTCAAGTGGAGTGACTCAGGGGTCGGTCCTGGGGCCGGTTTTGTTCAATATCTTCATTAATGATCTGGAGGATGGCGTGGACTGCACTCTCAGCAAGTTTGCAGATGACACT